ATATGCGTTTCAATGGGACACGGGATGGGTAGGTTCGTAGCATGTTGGCTTAATGGGGGTTATTTTATTTGAATAGGAATGCCGTCCCAGCAAACGGGCAATTACGGCTTTGCTGGTTCCCATCGAAGTTGCATCCAATCGTAGCCGTAATTTGGTCAGTTGAAATGGGCGAGCTAATTCTTCGAAACATATTTATACCGCTATGGAAAATTGCCTGTTTTCAAGATGAAAATGTGATTGGACCATTCATGGAGGATTGGCTTAAATTTTTTTATTATTATTAAATCCGACCTATAAGTTCATCGCTATCCTAAATTCAATTTTAATACGAAATCAATTATTCACAGGAACGTAGCCAACAAAGCGCAAACCATTACACAGTGATCCAGTCAGATTACAATAATGCAACATAATATCGGATCTCGTCGAGCGAACCATTAAATCACAGCTAACAGTTAATTAAAGCTTTTCTGTAAATTTCTATCACGATAGAAGTATGTTATCTATCAAGTATATATATATACGCATTATTTATAGAAAAAATATTATTTTGCGGTTGCCTATAAAAAAATCCTATTAATTCACTTTTAACGAGTTATACCACCACGGGTATTCAAAATGGCCGAGTATCTGACTTTTTGATCCACTTCAGTAGCAAGTGGCGACCTTCCGTTATATCCTCGTAAACTTCTGAGCTCCTTTCATTCTCAACCTAACCTTACCCAGCTATCGTTGGACTCCGGGACCCCATCCTCCCTCGCCTCACTTTAATCTAATCGCAGTTTTCTTCCGTGCCAATCCCTCGAGCTAGTTGCAAGCACATGGAATCTGCGAGACTAACTAACTTTGCCATGTATATGCGCATCCTGGTGCTATCGAACGTCCTGTCTAACAAGGACATATCCCCCATGAAGTACAGTAAGACGCGTGAAAGTGAGATATCGGATGAATTTTATTTTTACTCATAAACTTTTTCTAGCAAAATTGAATTCTCTTTATTTTAAGAAAAATTTATTTCATATTATATAATAGTTATTTTCATTATTACACGATAACGAATTTTTAATGCTTATACGAAAGCGAGATCTATAGTTATACCTATTCGTGATACTCTCATGCTCGTGTCTTTACCTCCACTGGCGCCAGAGGTACTTGATCCATCCTTGTTCTTATTGTTAGTATCTACTTGAGTCATTCCCTGGCGTCCTGAAACACTAACCTCAACTTGTAGGTCCGTGTAGTTTGAACCCACACTTACTATCTTTAGTGAGATAAACGCGGTGTTCATTTAATGTTTACTTCCCTTTCTGATTGCAGCGTATCGCCACGTTCAGATCAATACGTGAAATTGCCCAATTACCTTTGGGGTTGTATAGTATTTGTAGTTGACATATTTCAGAGGGCAAATCTTTTGTATGCTTGGGGGAATCGTGCACGACGGGCACGGGAAGTGCACGGGAAGTGTGCACGATGCAATGTCGAAAATTGTTCCGAACGTCAATTTTGTTACAATCGACCGAAAAATTCGCACCGTGAATTTCACCTGTTTGATTTGTAAATAAAAAATGCGTTTATTTCGAGATTCGTGATAAAGAAATTGATATTGATTTGATAATGCGCTATTGGAAAGTTTATTATTTTACTCTTTTATTATTTTTTAACCTCTTGATTTCTCTTTGTAACTTTTTTTTTCCTTTTAGAATTACGTCATTTTCTTCCTTCAGATAAACGTTTCCTTCTTTTCAACGATGTCGAGAATTCGACTAGTGCCTCCAGATGGAAATAAAATTTCTGACTCGACTGAACTTCCACGACGTATTAACGTCGTAAACGTCATGGATAATACGAGCCCGTTCCATAAGTAATAATTCTATGAGGAAGATCCTAGGATAGTCAACGAATCGAGCGTATGATAACTGATATCAAGTCTCCACATGACAAAGAGCCAATAATAAATTTTGTTGATGCTTCGCTTTGTCGATAAAGCGAAAATCATTCTACGATTCGAGATGAAATAAGGTACCTGGAGTATTGCTTCCATAGGCAGTTACCCAAAGCGGTCCAGAGAATTTCAGCGAATTCAACTTAGGTAAAATATTACATATAGAAAGTGGGTACGCGCTTTATGAGCGTTGAGCTTTATATACATTCGACTTATAGAAGTCCCGTAAACTGGGTACGAGCAATTTCACCAGCTTGAAATTTCTCCTTGGGGACATAATACGCATACACGTCATATATAAGAGCAAAAAAAAATTAAAACGGCAACCTGATATTAATAACGGATCATGTTCCATGAGTTGCGTGACGTAAGAAAAGATTTTAGGAATGTTCGCCATCTGCTTTTACATATACTCGATCTACGACTTCGTTGTTTGGAGTTGACTATAGTACGATACGAGGATCCTTGGTACTCGAGTAAACACTCGACTCTGTAGTCACTCGAGAGAAACGAAGTGGCGTAGATGACAAAGAGGAATAGGAAAATGAAATTCAGGTATAAATGAGATCGACGACCAGTCGCTGTTTACGCGTCTTCCTTATTTATCATCAAGCAAAAGCGAGAAGCGCGAACGGGAATCGCGCTAACGCCTTTTCACTTTTATTTATCCCCTCGGCATTCTCCTCGCCTTCGTCCTTCACTTGGCTCGGCTGACTGCACTGACTTATTAGCTAAATTAAACGTGGACAGTGAACCATCGTACGAAGGGCAGTCTTCGCTACACGACTCTAAGGTCTCCACCAGGGGAGGTTCCAGCTATGTACATTACTATACTAGGAACGAACCGAGCGAGCTGGTAGGGCCACCCCTTCGGATAGCTGGCATTTGCAGGAGATTAATATTATTCCCGCCGCGTGCCGGGGCTCATTTCGCGCCCTCCTTCGGAAAATCTATATTTTCCCCAGCTCACCCTCCCCGCCGTACCTCCTACCTTGACTACTGACAGCAACCACCCACACCCTCGTGGAGAAAACCCACCCTCCCTACCTTCGCTTCCTCCCCTGAATCTCTAGTGGCTGACTCGAGATCTGGGGGGCGATCCCCCCCCACATCCTTAACTTTACTCTCGGAGATCGAGGCAAATGCCAGGCTTTACGCTCGTACCGATCCTTACGGAAGGGCTTAAGGTTATATCACGAGTTACGATTTTTCTTTAAGAGCACTTGATGGCCAAAACAGATTTTTCAAGGATTAAATCTCGTGGGTATATGGAACTTATACGGGTTCTAATCATTTTGATAATTGGTCCATTCCCTTGCATGACGAGGAGCATCACTGCAAATCCAAGTTTGTTAATTCTCTATCATTTCTATGGTAGTCACTTTTGACGCACACGCAAGTATGTTAGTTTTACCTTCGAATATGTGGGAATAACAATACACTTGTGAGCTTGTAAAAAGTGACTACCGTAGAGAGAATAGGGAAATAACAATGTATCTGTGATAGTCGGTTTGAATATCAGGCCTCAGATATGTAAACAATGACTAGAGAGGTCATCTTCCGGGTCACAATCTACTCGAGCAGTTTCCTCCGATTCAGTCAGTGAGCTTGTGCCAGCGAGACATGGTCATTAACTGATCCCATAGTCTAGGGTGATACGTTCAAGTAGTGTATCATAGTTAAACCAATATTCTCCTGGAGGATCAGGACTATAATATTGGAGTGGAAATTGTGAGGTGTTTGAGTGAACGAATATAGCATTTATAAGAACGAGTCTATCAAGGACGAGGTTGACGACCGGAGCCGAGTAGGACCCCCATAAGACTCTGGAAGTTGATTCATGAAAATGTGAGCGATAGTGTAGTTTTATAGTATATGAAAAATTTGTCTACGATCTATTAAAAACAGTTCTAAAGATCAGGTTTACTTTTGACGAAAAATGTACGTATAAGTATAAAATATCGGTCGCTTTGAAGTATTTCGTCTTTGAGCTATATGTATGCATCCTGGAGAATCTGTCCAGTGCTGGCAAGACTCGGATAGTTCTCTTTATCAAAATGCCAATCTGCGAAAATGCATCTGGCCCAGTGCCATTTTCCTGAAATAATACCGAGTTTATATCGTCGTAGCGCAAATAACTTGTTCGATCCGAACGCTAAGTTTAGCTGGGATTCGTTGTAAGCGTCGGAGAGCACGATGAAGTGTATTTATTTTTAAAGTACAAAGCTGCGAAACTGGGCTTAGACGTTCTTACCTTTATACAGTCTGGAATCCGAAGTATTTTACTGGCGGCAGTGATATACATTTTAAAATGCCCAACCGATACATTCTTTCTTCCTATACCCTGACTTATGGACGTTTTTGATAAACTTTTCCTGTCAAAGCAGAAATAACCTCACGACAAAAATGTCACTCTGTATGAAAGTCTTACATCACAATACCTTCCCCGTATGGGTCACCTGCTTTAACTTCTCGCAGAATCCAAGGGAAAGCCCGTACGCAAGTAGCTCGAACTTTTCATAGGAAGGAACGTACGACGCTCGTTCGAAAGGAAAAACGCGAAAGAAGAAAGCGGATATCGTGCTTATATCGAGGAAGTTCCAATATACGTATTCCTGGAAGAGAACGACCATCGATTCTCAATATATAGCGAAGGGCCGGGAAATAGACAGATAGAGGAAGGAATATACGAATGGGTAGAAGATCAATGGTGGGGGAGACGGAAGCTCTGCCGGAAAAATACAGTTGTATTATACTTGCATTCATCGTAAAACTCTTGGGTGTATATACCTATATACACGTATGCCTATACTATAGGCGCCGTTATTAATTGAACATTGTGCCAATCGATTTCCCACCATCGTATTCCGTATCGTCTCTCGAGTAAATAACCTCAGGCGTGTTGCACGCGCGCGAATCGCCACCGACATAAATATCAGACAATAGGACGCCTCTGAATTTATTTGAATCTAGAGACAATGCGAATGCACAATGGCAAGACGTTGATCGAGCATTGCGTGAATCCATGTTTAACCTTCTGTTTCTCCCTTTGTTGCAGGTAAGTTTCACTGCCTTTACGCCGGAGCTGCTGCCGCACGCAACTTCATAAGAAATGCAACGAAATCGTAAGCTTCGATAGCAGATCTCTATTACATGGGAACAACGCGCATGGTCACTCAATGCTACCCATACTTCGTATACTTTCAATGTCAATACGCTTGTTCGAGGCCGATATTTCAGATCGATAGTCCACGCGATTGATCTTGTTCCAGTAATAACGATTTGTTGAAAATTAGAAAGCGGGCCACAGTTAACCGCGTTAATTGCAATCCAAACGCGTTTTCCACTTTGCGATTTGAATTCGTTCAGCCAGTTAATGGCAGAGAAAATTGAAGTATGGTTACGCGTGTATTCCCCTATCACAGTGCATGTTTGCGTATACTAGCGGGCATTGTAGCGTTTACTATAGTTCACTATAGTGCGCGGACAGGGCTGCCTGGGTTCACCAGAATGATGGGCCAGACTTGAGAGTCGTACGAGGGTTGACATAGGTCTGCGTTAGTAATGCTGAGTTTATTGCGTGGCTGAATGTTCACGGGAAAATTCAGCCAATATCACGTGTCGTATCCTATAGCGCAGGTAAAGCAAGCGGCCACCGCGCTACAAAGCGGAATCGATATAACCAGCTTTAAAATGAGAGTTATAGACCATGTCGCCATGGGGTTTTGCCAGGGGATTGGTAGACGGTTTTGCCAGTTTACCACTCACTCGTTCGTTCGTTCGTTCGTTCTCCCAGCGTATCATTTCATTGCGACGACATTTCCGTCGACTCAAATCCCCAACATCGACACACTGATGTTATTGACATCAATATCAAACACGGGAACGATGCTTTTGTACCAAAATCAATCGCGTTAAACGTTTGCTTTTGACAGAAAATTTCTGATAGTTTGTGTACATTTATTTTTCTTGCTCGTATTCCGGATATACTCTGTCAATGCACTCATGTTCTACCTATAGTCAATTGCATGACTCTTATAAATATGCCTTAAGCATATGACCGTGAGTCTAGTTCAGTGATATTATCCGATCGATTTGCTAATCGACATAGCTATATGATTGGTCGGGTTATCGGAGATCAATGGGGTGGCGGCGTCCCGCAGGAAGAAATCGTAGAAATTCCAACTGCGGAGGGTTGGCATGCCTGATGCAATAACCAATGGAGCCTATTAAAATCCCTCCTGTCGAATGGCCTGGCTTTGAGTATCAGAGACTGTGCGGGGGGGATACCTGTACTGGGTTATTTCCGAGTAAAGCTAGATTTATCGGGAAATGTAAATTTATATTGTATAACGTTCCTCTATCCGATTCGCATCTGGTGCCACCGGTGCGAGCTGTTTTAAATTATTCCAGGAGGCCGTGGTGCCGCCAAGTCGTGTTCCTGGCAAAACCTTTCCCAAATTCCCGCACCTACGCGACTCTCGTCCACCGGTTCATGGGCTCGTTGCTTTTCACCATTATACTCGGAGAAATAATGTGGCTGAAGATATACGAGAGAGCACTACCAACCAAAAGTAGCACAATGGTCCGCAAAAGAATGACCCCGAATCCCATGGCTTTTTCTCGGAACGAGGTTACCGTGCGAAATGTACGCGTCAGGTTGGTAGGACTTCAGTCGTGTCTTTTATTTCTTACGAACCTGTCCGTGGCTGGATAACTGGAATTGCAAAGATTCTGCAATCATAAGTTACGTATGCCTGTTTCACGTACGGTATATATACGGTGGTTATAACCATACACGCATAATTCGCAGTAGACAATAATGCACGGTTTTTCATTATCTTGCACTTTTGTACGATTTAATCGACTCGGCTGAGAAACTGCTCGAAGTTTCATACGAGGATAACAGATTTTCGTATGGCTGCTAATTTTTATGAAGCTACGCCGAGCGACTCCCGCGATTGGTAATTTAAGTGTCATTGGCATTCCGGCGGGTATTGCTGCCCCGTGACGAAAGGAAACTGGTTTTAATGGGCTTAATTAACTGTAAAGTGATGCCTCTTGTACGGTTACTGTATCTCATTATCATATATGCTACATACGAGGTACCACTTGACAACAGTAATCAGTGTCAGAATGGGCGATTGATATGAGATATCCACACAATATTCGGGTGGTCACGTTATCCATGCTAATTATCAATATCCGCGTAAGTGATAATGGAAATGACGATGATAGGGATAGTTTGTAGCGCGACAATTATATTTGCGCGCCGAATTTATTCCAGATGCCAGCACCTTCGTGTCCTCCCACTTATTGTAAATTTTCGTAGCTTCGCGAAGGGATAAGTCTTGCTCTTCCCATTTGCCTGTAGGCAGTGAATACGGAAGCAGCAGGTATTTATAGTAAAAATTATAGAAATCGTTTATAAGGACGTTATTTTATTAGATTTGTTTTTCTATCACTCTCTTAGGTATTTGGGCCATTGTCCCGTGGTCAACGTAGGAGTATTTTATTCGGCTTGGATTTTTATTAGAAGCAAATTACGTACTGGAAGCACACGAGGTGCTGGATATTGGAAGCTTCATGGCTACGGCTGGTTATCTCGATCACGTAAATACAAAAAATTGTCACCACGATTCTCTATGTTAATATATTTTTATATATAAGGTGCGTGCGTAGCGAAATTCAGTAATTTGTCTTAAACGGTATTTATATATATTAAATTCCTTTTATTATATAGCCGCATATCATTGATTATACGTTATCGCTCAAATTGTTCAAAGCTCGTATTCTGGTAGTGTTTTCTCTGTTACTGTGTTTTACCATAAATGTGTAATAGAAAAATAGTGTTATATTACAAGTTGTACTTGATAAATAAAAAAATATCACGTGACGTAAAATATTGTAGAATTATTTCACGCTAACCATTCAGCTCGTAATAGAGTTTGGAAGTTTGCATACTCGATCAAATAATTGAACAAGAATAACTTTAAGATTGCAGTTTTAATTGATCAACAGAGACGAGATTCTCGTCTATGTTCATGGCCGATAATGAGAATTCATGAAAAACCTGTTTTCCAATCGGGAAATACTCAATCGTTATCTTCCTCGCGATCGTCGTACTCTCTTCTCAGGCTAATTCCCATATACACGCGTGTATAAGCCGTATATCAGCTCTGCCCGGGAAGCAAAGCGCGATCTTCGAATCGATGCGCTGCCGCCACGAATCATCGTGATTCAGTTGCGCGTCAAATCGTAAACCACCGTCGGCAATTTACGAGAAGATTACAGGGGAAGAAATGTGTCACTCGAGAGTTTGCAACACAGCCAGCTGCTGTGTTCCATGCTGGATTACGTGTGCCACGGCGAGCGGCCACGCGAACCTCCTGGAAACTAAGTTTCTGCTTCGGTAATTCGTTTGTAGGCGCGAACAAACTTTCCTCAGATCTTTGCATTTCGCTTCGCGTTTCTCGTGCGCCTTATCTATAGTGCTGACCTTTTTTTTTTATTTTTATTTATTCTCTATCTTTTTCCTTTTTAACACTATTCGCGCACTGTATTTCTTCTCAAACTCTCTCGTGGCCAAGTGTACTCCCGCTCTTAACGACTTTGGATATCACGATCGACTCTTCGGCCACTTCACAGATATCAGCTAGAAAACCAAACGAGGTTGAAGCACGCGAGTCAAATTTGCGTGTTTCTGTTTTTTTTTTTTTTTTTTAAATTGGGGTTATTTACGCAAGGTTATCGTGCTGTGGCTGTTTCATATACCAATGTCATATTGAAGTGGTATATGCTCGTTAGAGATATTAGTAATATGGTATTTTGTTTCGTATTCTTTCCGTCCGCCCGTCCGAAGTCAGGCACAAAGGGGGAATTATGTTTTTGGTTTTTATTTTTCTAATAATAAAAATCGATTGCTTTTGTATTACGAAGTATTACGGAATTATCCTTTTGGTTTTGCCGTTATTGATAAGCCCGTGAATGCGAATCAGCCCGAAACTCGTTCATATTTCGACGCGTGATCGATCGTCACGCTATACGATATGCCAAAACGCTTACGTGTACTTCCATATGAGCACTAATTAAACCAGTAAACGTATAAATTTGTGGATTTGTAAACACATAACTTGGATATTGAATATTTTTAAAATTCATATTAAAAATATTGTATTTTTATCGATATCTGTTAATATGTATCTTATTTCCTGTGGCGGGACTCTATGTATACTCGCGGTTCAGATACGGCAAATATCACGGGACATTAAACACATGTACATACTCGCTCGCCCATTCATAACACTTTTGCGTTCTTTATGGCGTCATGCTTGCGAATATAGTCGACACTGAAATGACCCGTGCGCGTTAAATACACTTTTATAAAACAGCTGCTCGCGACAGTCACATTATACCGGCGAAGGGGTAATCCCATTTTGAGGAAACAGGGGAACGGTACACAATGAAACACAGTCGTGTCAAAAATTGCACCACAGTTGGTTATACTGTCTCTATATATCTATAGATATGGATATAAGTATTAATGATGTGATAGTATAAACGATAAAACTCAAGGGATAATAATATTGTCAGCGTCTTTGGAACAAATTGAGAATCCCTGAAATTCCCGTAGGAAGAACCAGGACCGAATTGTCGGATAATCTCCGGGACATTCGTAGATTACTCTCGATATGCCCGAGAGGCGATTTCATCTGGCCATTATCCCAACCCCTCTAAGTGAAACCATCTTCAGGGCATCTCGTCGACGAGAAGACAATATCCCTTTCCTCAAGGAACATTCTAAGCGTCTCAGAGCCAACTCAATCCAGCTCGAGAGCATCCTTACCTACTATACCTATATACAATATCAACTTAGCTACCGAACCTCCAATTGTCATGACAGACAAAATCCTCTTAATATACGAAGCTAAGATGTTCAAGGTTTCTATAGGATATTAATACCTTCGGACTTTTGGGTTATGAGTAAAATAGTTTTTTTTTTTGTATTATTATTTTCTGCGATAGGGAATCAATTTATTTTTAAACTTTGGTCTACTCGAGCTGCTTGTACTGCAGAAACGTAAATAACCGATGACGCAATAGCAGGAACCTCCTTCGAGTATTA